TGATTGAATGGAACTTTTCATTGGATTCGGCTTCTCTAGAGACAGCCGGTCCTTGATCTCCATGAGGATGGAGTTGCAGTCCTTGTTAAACTCGTACTTGGGGATGTACGGTTTAAATTCTTTCTTTTTCTTCTAGGACGACTGGTCAGAATCACTCACCGCTCAGACTTCTTTTCTCTTTTTGGTATCATCTTTTTTCTTGGCCGGCTGAGCAGACCGACTGTCTTTTTGCCTGTCAGACTTCTTGGAGTCCGACTGGCTACCAGGCGAACAGAGGTTGGTTGCTTGAATATAGCTTTCCACCTCCCTCAGGGCCGCCTGTAAAGTAAAAACCCCTTTTTTTACTAGGTCGAACTTAAAGGTCGACCGGTCTCTCAGAACCTTAAAGAAGTTTGTAAAAGCTACATCATTAGACAGTCCTTGAATCTGAATTCTGATCAGATTGAACCGCCTGATACAGGAGCACAATCCTTCTCTCTCTCCCTACTTAATGGTGCTCAAGTCAAGACTTGTTTTTTTCGCAGGGATGTTCATTGAGAAGTTGGAAGCAAACAAGAAGGCAAGCTTCCTGAAACTATCGATGGAACCGGCTGGAAAGTTGCCAAACAATTTGGGAAATGCCCTTAAATGTAGCCGGAAAGCATCGACCCAAGTGGCATCATCCAACCCGTGTAAATACATGAGGTTGGTGTAAGCCATGAGGTGAACTTCCGGGTTGGAGGTACCATCATAGGTACCTACCAACACGTTTTTCTTGTCCAGTGGCTGGACGTTGCTGTATGTCGCCTGCCCTCCGAAGAGGGTCGGCTGCATGAAATGAGGAGAATACGGACCGTAGACCAGAGGTGGTGCGTTCCCAATCATCTGAGGGCCAGAATAGACGTTATTATTGCCTGTATGGCTCTCGTGCAAGGATTGCGCGTTCCTTGCAGATGTATTCTTAAAGCTATTTAGAAAGCTTGATGTAGAATCTGACTTAGACAACTGCTGATTCCTCTTGCGGGTGATGATCTCCCGAGCGTCAAGAGTTGATTTTTTGTTTCCCACAGGCTGTCCAGTCCAGCGGGTGGTATTTGTGTTCCTCTTAGGCAAAAGAATCTTGGACCAATCAATGGTCTCGAGTGCCTTCTCCTTTGGATGAGGAGTTGGCTGCCTATCTCGGACTGACTTCCCCTTCTCTAGAGGAGCCTTCCTTACAGACTGACCCCTGCTTGGGCCAGCCCGACTCTTGGTGATCAGATCCTTAATTTCACCCTTGAAACTAGTCATGAATTTCATGAGTTCATCTCGAGTGACAGGAGCGGATCCACTACCGTATGGGTTTCCCCTTCCGGCTGTCCGGGGGTTGGTTTGTACCCGCCTGGCTGGCACCCTGTTCCAGAGTGTCTCTAGGCCGGATGCACTTGGTTATTAGAGAGCAATCACTTGCTATATAAGTTTTGACCCGAGGATCATGATCCTCTTGGTCAGTAAAGACTTCTGGCTCGTCTACGGGACGCTCAGGAGGTGGTACAGACTCTTGAACCATCCTTGAGGTACTTTCACCACAGACAACGCCAAATGTTTTGGGTGTTTTTGTCCCTCAAGAGAGTTACGTCACAAAGATTGATCCGGTTGAGCTGTAGATGCAAAAACAACGGAGACTCCTGGTGGTGGAGCTCCGCCTCCGAAGATCAAGTTTGTAACTTGAAAGAGAATAAAGAGTACGGAAATTTAGGTGGGGATCTTCTTGGATTCCAAGCTCAAGTGTTTCTCTGATGAGAGAGAAAGTAGGTGTAATAAATGATTGAATGTGTCCCTAAAATGGGGAAATATCTCCCTATTTATAGGTTCCTTGGTAGGAGTGCCCCTACCTAGGTCACTTGACCTAGATTTTAGTGGGCTGCGCTAAATTATGGCGCTTCATGGGATTTGGGCCCTTGAAGGCCGTCATTTCAGAAACTATCTGAAGGGGACACGTGTCAGGAGGCTATTGGGCCACTTGGGCCAGCCTGAACTTGACACGTGACCTTCTCTCCTTAGTCCACATGTCTAGGGTATTGTTACCATATACAATACCTGTTGCACAACATACGATATATCTGGCCTTGTAATGTAAGATATTGCAGCGGCCAACAAGATTGGATATGTAAAAGTGGAACCCGAAGTACTTACCTTTGGCTTTGCCTCAACCGGAGTGGCCGAAGACTTGCAAGAACTCATCCCATCTCTTTCAATGATCTCCTCGGCATATTTGCATTGTGACAAAAATAATCCACCCTTATACCTTGTCACTGCAATGCCAAGAAAGTAATTCAAAGGCCCCAAATGCTTCATAGCAAACTTTGCACTAAGACGGGACATAATAGTACGTCGAAGAGCATCAGAAGAAGTGGTGAGAATAATGTCATCAACATATAGTAATAAGTAAGCCACATTCGATCCCATACGATAAATAAATTGAGAATTGTCACTCCTGCTATTAGTAAAACCAATAGAAGCAACAAAATCAGCAAATCGCTTATAAAAGCTCTAGGTTCCTGTTTAAGACCATATAATGATTTCCGTAGCAAACGAATATAATCAGGATGGGTCTGATCATGGAAACCAAGAGGTTGATGCATATAGACTGTCTCATTAATCTCACCGTGCAGAAAAGCATTCTTGACGTCAAGCTGATGAATTAGCGAAGTTTTGGACAATGCCAAGTTAAGTACAGTATAGATGGTAGTCGGTTTTACTACCAGACTAAAAGTCTCACCACAATCAATGCCAACCTATTGTAATTTTCCATCACCTACAAGACGAGCTTTAAGCCTCTCAAAAGAACCGTCAGATTTCACCTTATGAGTAAAAATCCACATAGAACGAATAACATTAACATCAGGCGGACGGGGCACCAACTCCCACGTCTTATTTTTAATAAGAGCATTAAATTCATCATCCATGGACATTTTCCAATTAGGGTCACGAAGAGCAGAAATAGGGTTACGAGGCAAAGGATTTCGTAACATTAATCGTCATATTACTGAAATTTTTATATTTCGGGTTCGGTTTGACAATACCATTTCTACTATGTGTGACCGTAGTGGGTAAAGGAGTAGGCTGTGGGTGAGGAATAGGTGGGGAAGGTTGGGATTGTGGGCTGGAAGGCACACCTAGGCCACTATGGGTAGGTCTAGTGTGGGTTGTGGCTGATTGAATAGGCCCACGGTCAACAAGGGACCTATTTTTCTCAACATTGTGTCCGGTGCTAGGGCCAGAAAGGAAGGAGGGAAAGCTGGGCTGGTTTGCGAGAATGGGCTGCCAGGGGGAGGAATAGTATGCGGCCCTGTCTAGCAAGGGAAGGAGAGTAGGCTTGGCTGGTTGGCCACCTCAGTGTCCGAATTGGACTGCCTAGAAGAAGTTAAATGGTGAATGCTATAAGAACTAAGGCCCTCATTCATGAAATCATAAGTATGTTAAGTGGGAGTATGCAAGTTAGCAAAAGGAAAAATATTCTCATCAAAATTAACATGACGGCATATTATGATCTTACGAGACGATAAATGATAACATTTGTAACCTCTATGATTTGGCGGAAAACCCAAAAATACACAAGGTGTAGATTGAGGTTAGAGCTTGTGAATGGTAGTGGAAGGGAATAAGGGTAACACAAGCAAGGCACGATGCCAAAATGAAGGAGGTAAAGATGCATGAGCAAGAAGAGTGCGAATTATATCATTCAATGATCTAATTTTTCTCTCGGCTTTTCCATTTTGTGATGATGTACAAGGACACGAAAAACGGAAAGACATATCATTAGACTCACATAAAGCCCAAAAAGGTCCATATCATACTCTCTCCCATTATCACATTGAAAATTTTTAATAGATCATTCAAATTTTGGGTACGAATAAATGCTTGGAAAACCAATATTTTATCAAAAGCATCTGACTTTTTAGCTAATGGAAAATTCCACAAAAATTTAGAATAATCATCCAAAACAAGCATATAATAACGATGACCATAGATCACTTTAAATAATATCAATAGGCATAAAAGTAGTAGAATTTAAAGAAATAAAAGGCAACTTCATGTGTTTTCCGAGTACACAAGAATGACAAATACTAGAACTAGTAGTTTGATTACATTCAATGCTTTTATTACTACAAAGAGTCTTTAAAATAGAAGAACCCGAATGTCCTAAACGATCATGTCAAAAAGGTGATGCTAAAGCTGTAAAGGTGGACGGAGAAGAATGTGAGACAGTGGTAGTGAGTGGGTAAAGATCTCCTTGGCTATCACATCTCATTATTGGCATCCCCGTCCGATAATCCTTCACAAAAAACCATAAGGGTCAAACTCAATAGACACACAGTTATCAGTGGTAAACTTTCTAACAGATATTAAATTCTTAATGAGTTTAGGGGCATGTAAGACTTTAGAAAAAAGGGACATAGGAGGCTTTGGGGAAGGTAAGGTAGTGTCACCACAACCACGAATATGAATAGTATGACTATTGCCAACAACAATACCATTATGATGATTGCTCAAATTAGAATATGACGAGAGATTACCGTGGGAAGAAGTCATATGTGAAGTTGCATCGGTGTCCATGTACCACGAAGGATTGGGTTGTTGCAAAGACATGGTGTGCATAGCCGATTCAATGTCGGTCGGAGCATAGGACTGTTAAGAGGCTGCATATACATGCTGTGGACCGGGTTGCTGTTTTGGTCCTTGGGGACGAGCCACCCTTGTGTTGGGTATGGACAAGGGGGGACTACCCACGGAGAAACCCAACCCCAAGGAGAAGGGGCATATCCCTGCTACTTCCATGGAGAGACTGCAAATCAGCCTTACTGCTACGGTTGTTGTTGACTAGGACCACCATGACCCGTCAGACATCTGCCAGAATTCTGACCATCGCGACCAGCCTAACCAGTGCCAGAACACTGTTTCTTTCCACCAGATTTTTTTTTCTTATTTTTGGATTTTCCACGAGCTCCAGAATGATCGTACCCACCTTCCGATTCTCGTTAACTGGCCACCATAGCTGATTCCGTGGCTGCCTTTTTTGCCAAACTCGCCTCCTCCAATGTAGGTTTAGACCGGGCTTGGTAAAATTGAGGCAAAGGAGTGCTTTGCCGGATTAAAGTTGCAACACCATTATAGGCTTCCGTAAGACCATAAACCAATTGAAGGACAAGACGGTTGTTATCCACCGGCACTCCCACATTATTCAGCTTATCGGAGAGGCCCTTGTGCCGCTGACAATAAGCCAAGGCATTGGGAAAGGCCTCCATTTTGGTGTTTGAGAACTCTTGTTCAAGAGAGACGACTCTGGAATTTTGATTGTTCTGGAATATGTCACGTAGCCTATTCCAAGCTTCCATTGTTGTGGAGTCAGGTTCAATAATGGTGTTCAAAAGATCGTAAGAGATGGTGAAATAAATCCACCCTAGGACAGCCGCATCTAACGTCGACCAAAGCTCCTTCTCCTCATCAATAGATGGTGTGACAACCTTCTCCTTTGGAGGAATGATGTGATGATTGACCTTATGAGAACGACCATGAACCTTGAATAACTCCGCCCACGTGGAGTATTGAACATTATCCATTTCAAGAGTAATGGGAATATTACTTTAAATGTTCGAAAAAGTCATGACCGGAACTTGGAGTCCGACATGGTCGTCAATATAAGAGAGAATAAAGAGGGAAGAAGAAGAAGAAGAGGAATATGCGAATGACTAGGGTGCAGCGAAAGAAAACCATAGGCTATTTGATACCATGAAGGAAATATAAACCGTGACTATTTCATTAAGCAACCTCTGGTTATTTACAAGAGTCAACAACATCAAGTTAGGAACTAACTAGCTACAATTAAGGGCTAATACTAAGGCTAAATATACACCTAACAAATATAACAAATATACAAATCAGAATATATCACAATATATTCTGATATACATCTTTGCCACACCACCCAAAACCCCTTAGGTGCAGCCATCACCAAACCTGGAACCCCATCCATTCTTTCCCAACGCTAATACAACTACACTACACATCTACACCTACCAACCTGTTACAAAACCCAACCCCTACCTCATTGTTGATTCAATTTTGCCTCACCTGAAGCTTGAGAGGAAATAAGGATTTTGACCTTTCCTCCTTTTTAGGATCAAATATTAATTACATAACGTCCGTAACTAATACATCATTACCAAGGTTACTGCTCACTAACTTATAGAAATTGAAGGGAACTATACTCATGGGCAAAGGGACGGGGGGCTGGTGGATGCCCGGCCTCCCCGGCCTAGATTTGCGACCTTTGATTATTAACTCTTGGCCCCCCTTAAAGTTATTATATACAGAATGAAGACAAATATGATACAACAAATGAAGCTTGTCATATTAGTTAGGTAGTGATTCTTTTTCCCAATGAGCCTGGGTTCAAATCCCATCACTCACTTGTTTTTTTGATACAGCTTCTTATTCTATTTGGGCTTTGATTTTGATGATAAAGGCCAAAGACTTAAGCTACAAATCAACTTAATGACCGGAAATCTTCATCATATTTTGAGAATTGAGATTCTACTCTTGTTTTTTTAAATTATGTAATTTCATTTAATTAATAAATGTTAATATGTTTATTTAATTTATTTAATAATTTTGGCTAATTTTTAATTTATTTAATGGACCATTAGATCAAATTTTAGGGTTATATGCTACATAATTTGATAATTGTTATTTTTTAATTTATGAAATTTTATTTAACTAAGGAGTAAAATGGAGGATGATTTTCTTAGAGATGTTTTGGTTGTATACGTAGAAAAAGAGATTGTTGTAGATTTTAGTGTTTAATCTTTGATTGATGATTTTGCTAAATTGAAAAATCGTAGAGTACGATTCAAATAATTTTTTTTGTAACAATAAAATACTAGTACATTTTAGGTTGGATTTGTACCTTCATCTCTTTTAGGTTGGATTTGTACCTTCATCTCTTTTAGGTTGGATTTGTACCTTCATCCCCGAACTTCCAGTCATGGACTCATGGTTCCAGACCTATTGGAGTTAACGGTCTCTTGGATCATTAAGGGGTGTAACCTTCACCCTGTGAACGGTTTTCAAGTTCCTAAAACTTGTTGGCGACTCTTTTACTCTAACTTCTTTCCCTTTGGACGCCACCATGCTTAAGTGTATGATCACAGTGGGGCTCAAGTGTGGGATGGCTTGAAATATTCCCTATAGTTTTTTGGCGACTCCATGATCACGGGTAAAAGTAGGTCGTTGGTCTACTAACCCTAACCAAATTAGAAATTTATAATAGCTAAACTTACACTAAACTAGTTAGTGGCAAGTAAAGGGTTGAACCCAAAAGGACTGAGTGTATTAATTTCTGCCAACTAGACTACTAGGAAAGGTCGTGAGGTAGAGAGAGGTTAAACTAAACACGACTAAGAACAAACAACTAAAACTAGGGAAAGTTGAATCCAATCACATCAATGTATTAAACAACATCATAGAAATAGATGAAAATGACCTAGATTAGGAACATCAACACATTTAACTCACTCTCGCACAATTAAGCATGTTAATTATCCTATTAAACTAATTCACTCTCGTGCAACTAGCCTAGCAAAGGTATGGAAGAATTTAGGGCTCTCAACCAACTCACTCTCGCACAATTGATTGAAAGCACAATTAAGAGCATAGAATCGATTAGCTAGAAAGATTCTAATCCATAAAAGCATAACCCATACACAATAATCAAGAAACAATTTGATACTAATCACAATCAATCATTCAATTCATTAATATAACCTTCATCGAATTCCCTAGAACAAGACCTAAGCTAACATAATGAAGAAAGACATGGAAAACAAGGTAAAATAAGAATAAAAACAAGATTAAACAAACAAACTAATTAATCTACTCAAATCAACAAACAAAAAGCAAAAACTATGAATTAAGCAAAGAAATAAAGATGAGAGAAAGTTAGAAAATGCTCATTGAATAGATGAGAAGAAGTTCCACAAAGTTGCTTTTACAACCTCTCAAAAACTCCATGGAAATCCAAGTTTTCTCTCTCTACAACTACTCCTAAACTAGAGAGAGAAAAAATCCTAATCTAACCCTAAGAGAGAAAATAAAAGAGGCTAAACTAATCTAATCTATCTAAAATAAAATGTTGATTGAAAGTTGTGAGAAAATAATCCCAAAGAGGGTATTTATAATACAAGTTAAAATAATATAAAAGAAATTAAAAAGAAATAAAACAATTAAAACAATTAAAATAACTAAACTAAAAACCAAAAAAGCAAAAAAAGATAAAATAAAATAAAAAGGAAAAAGAAAATAAAAAGAGGAAAAACAAGGATAAACCCACGAAAAATAAAACAACCAGACTATTTTTTTTTTGCCCTTCTTCATTTCGTGGCTGCTCCAATTCAAACACCATCAGCACCATCACCACGCATCATCACCCTCCATCAACCATCAACAACAATCATCAACGGTAATCATCAAGCATCATCCTTCACCTTCAATATCGACCGTTCGATCTCATTAATTATCATGTGCGAGGCTCGTGAAGTGGTTCGGTCGAACCATGGGTGTGTTCGACCACACCTCTTCAATTTACAAAACTCTGAAAGTTTCTGACTCGTACTTCGACCGAACTCTCAACTGTTTGCTCGAACCCAATTGGAATTGCATTTTGCTCGTGCGAATTGGTGATTGGATTAATATTTGCAGGTTGTTGTTGGTTGTTGACGGTGGTGCAGGGGTTGATGTTGGTTCAGTTGCGTGGCTGAAAGTGGTTAGTGTGAAGGATGTTGCAGGGTGTTGTTGGTGGTCTGAGAGCTGCGTGAGGTAGCAGGGGATTGTGGTGGTGATTGCTGTTGCAGATTGTTTAGTGGTGTGGTGAAGGTTGTATGTGGAGCTGGTGGTTGTTACAAGGGTGATTGGTGGTTCAGGTGGTTTGGGTGGTTGCGTGGTGGTTGATTGGAGTTGCGGGTTAGTGAGAAGAGGAGAGGGAAATCAGGGGAGTGTTGTGGTGATTGCTGGCGGTTTTGCGTGGCTGGTGAGAGTGGTGACGTGAGGGATGTTGCGGGGTGTTGGTGTATTGGAGGTGAGTGGTGGCTGCTAGTTTGTGTGGTGAAGGGGGCAGCAGTGGTGGAGCTGGTGGTTGTTGTTGATGTGCTTGGTTGTGTGGCAGCAGGATATGGGCCAGCAGCAAGTAGCAGTTTGGGGCAGCAGCTTGCTTAGTTCAATTTTGTGCCTCGAACCTCGGACCTTGAACTCGAATATGACTTTGAAACTTGACCAAGAATCCGAAAACACCTACAACAAAAAAAAAACACGAGGGTAGGATCGAGAACAAAATAAAAATAAAATAAAGTAAAGTAAAATACTAAAACTAAAAGAAATTAAATAAAATCAAAAGAAAATAAAGAAAATAAAATAAAGAAAACAAACTTGAAAATAAAAGAAAAATAAGAGGAAAATGAGAAGAAAAATATTAACAAGAATTTAGACTAAGAACATAAGAGAATAAGAAACATAAATAAATTACAAAATTAAACTAAAAACTACAAAATACTCAAATAAAAAGATAAAGGACGAGAATAAGCAATTAATAGAAATAAAGGATAAAATGAGCTTAATTATTGAAATAAGCCGGAAAAGTCTTTAATAAACACCCCTAAAAGTGACATAAAAGTCACTTATCACTCCACTGGGGAGGATTACTATTTTAATTCCTTAAGTTTATTTTGGCAATGATTTAGAATAAGTGGATGACACTCGAAAAGTTCTAAGTATTTCATGTGCGTAATTTTGATTGACATTATTGGCATAAGCATAGAAAGGTTCGCATTGGAAAAACCATCTGTAATGCGTCTAAAACGTAGGATTTTTACACGTAGGAAATTAGGGAAATATGTTTCACAACTAAAGTCGAAATAATGCTATGAATAAAACAGGAAAATTAAGGAACAGAAAGCTGCCGAGGCATGTAGGAATTAGCGCTGAGAAAACAGCGTTAGTGACAAACGATGGCGCTGTCACCAGGCGACAGTGCCAGCGTCTGGTGACGACGCTATTTTCTCACGCCGAATTCTTCCAATACCGAGCCAGAAATCTGCCTTCTTATTTTGACAGGTTTTCTAGTACTGTTTTCTCGATTTTACTTCCTGATTGAGTTTTTCCCATTTTTCTGAAACCCATATGTGTTCTTCATATGGCCATAACCCTTGAAGAATTTACGCTCCATCTACCCAATCAAACACTCTTGGCAATGAAGGTCGGGTACATCCGAATTTGTTGAATTCACCAAACCATGGAAGCGATTTTTACTCGCGGGGTCTTATCCACTCGCGCCAACCCTTCTAAAGGTAAGGCTTCCGCGCGGTGCATCCGGACTCATAACCATGGACACTTTTGACTAACCCATATCCTGAACTTTAGAGAACTAGAGCCATGGTTAGGTTGCAAACTCAATGCATCATATTGTTACTATATGACTACTTGTGCATTATTTGTTGTGCATATTTTATATATGTGTTTTCCCCTAACCGTTTATTTGACTTGTGAATGAGTTAAATTAATTTATTAATGA